GAGACTTTTTAATGAATGATTATGGAAAATGGAAAATAAAAAAATAAGTTGCTGAAATGTAAAATTAAAAATTTGTTTTTACTGAATTCAGTTCAATAATCTAAAACTGACCCTTTTCATTTAATAGCTTCTTTGTTATGTTGATATTTTCTTCTTATTTCAAATAACAATGCACTTGAACTCTTTTGTGCTGTGCTTTTTTCTAGCTTGCTTAATTTCTAACAATTTTGCATTTTATGTGATGTTCAGGTCTATTCTTAAAGTCCCACTGTCCTTGCCTTAAAGTAAACAGTTTGACAGTTTTCTAAAATTTTATTTAGTTAAAATTTCCTTAATACAAATATAATGTACTATGATATAAAGAAACCTATAAATCCTTTATTTTAAAGAAATATCAAGTCAATATCAAGTATGTTTCGGAAGCTTTTGGTGTGCTTTTAGAAATAGTATTTACTTTATGCCAACTTATACTATTTAAAAAGTCCTTGTCAGTTTAAATTCATTTATTTTACCAGTTATAGGAATAGCTGTTGCATAATTTGTTGAAGGGTCCTAGTTCTAGCCTGAATGAAGAATGCAGTCATCCAAATCATTCCCCATTTTACTGTATCACTGAAGTAGCCACAATCTATTTATTCATGAACCAAGTTCTTTTTACAGTTCCTTGAGATCCATGGAGATGCCTGTTCTACATGTAATATAGTAAAATTTATAGAGACTCATACCATAAACTAGGCATAGTGATGCCCATCTACAAGCCTAATGCTCAGAAGGTAGAGGTAGTATCATCATGACTTAAGCCCACCTTCAGTTACATAGCCAGTCTGAGGTTAGCTTGAGCTACATGCTACCCTGCCTCAAAATAGACAAGCAAGCAAGCAAACAATGAATCATCTTGTTTAAATATCAGTGAGAAGTTGCCAGAATAGGAGCTCAATTTCAACTTCTCTTCTAAAATTAGAAGTATCAAAACCAATACCTACACTGTGATCTTTTCAAGATTTAAATGAGGACCAAATAACAATATCATATCCATATTGAAAATGGGTGCAGAACATTTTATTCAAAATCAGTTCTCAATATTTTCAGTGTACTTAGAATAGTGGAGTTGATTCTGCAAAGTTAAAGGGTACTTGTTCAAATGATAACTGTAAAGGAAATTGAATATGAACACACATGATTCTCAGTTCTCCACCTCAGTTATGAAGTAGAATCCTGTGTGGTTCACTGGAGGAAGAAGAAAATATCAAACACTGAGTACCCCGCCTTTGTTTCATCGGGTCATATACAACACATCTGGGCAACAAGCCATGGCCAGCTCTGCTTTATGAAGCTCTTAAAATAACTGTGTGCGCATTTAAATACATTTTTAGAGATCTTTCTTTTTGTGATAAAGTCATGATAGATGTTTCCTTTCATTATTAATAAGTAGAAAACACTTGCAAAAATTAAGAATGTCTAAATATAGCAATACATTGTTCTCTCGAATTAAAATTAAAACTACTTACACACGAGCACACAACACATACAATGGATTTACTCACTGGAAGTACATTGGTTCTTTTGAGACTTTTTGATGACCTATAACAATAGATATTTGTGGCAGAAAATGTCATGTTTCAGTTAATATGTACATTGCACAATGATCAAGTCAGGACAAATACCATTTTCATCTTAAAGTTTTACTTTTCTTTTTTACTGAAGTATATAATTTTACGGGTAAATGTGTTTCTATGACGTTCTGTCACTCAGACACATCAAAATTATTTGTTGAAGTATATTTTGTCATATAAACATAAATGAAACAAGGTTTAGAGTATTCACAGTAATATTTATTAGAATAACATGTCTAGAAGCATGATAGGTAGTTGAAAAAGAAATCTTCATATCCACAGCCCAGCAGGGTGAGCATAGTCAGCTTTAATGATGGTTTCTGGATGAAGAAACAGACTCTCACATATGGCTTCATTTTCAGTAAAATCCAGAGGACCAGTATCTGCAATAGAATGGACGGAAGTAGCCATAGCCATAGCCACGGTAACCCCCAAGACCATAGCTGGAGACATAGCCATAGCCCAGGCCACTGAAGCTGCCTAGGCCATACCCAAGGCCACCATAGTAGTTGCCGTAGTAACAGCTCATGGTGTCTGGGATTTAGGATCTGTTGTGATGTTAAAGGTGAGTTTCCTGAGAATGAATGTCTGTCTGCATCAGGGCTTTTATACTTTGTCAGTGCAGGTGTGGCAAACCACAACAAGAGAGTGTCCTTGTCTTTGAAAATCCATCCTTGGAGAAAAACAGTCCTGTTTCATTGTGCCTTTCTTCCTACTAGTAGTCCAAAGACGCATGGAATGCTCACTCTTTAGTTTTGGCATATTTTAATTTTTATTTTACTTTAATCATAGCTGAATTTCACATATCTCTATAATTAAAAGGTAATCTTGAAACCTTTTTGTTATAGTTGAATAATTTTGGCATCCCTGATCTTTTTTGTCCTGCCAAAAATGTCATCGCCTTCCATTGTTCTAAAGTTTAACCTACTTTAAATACCATGTTTTCTAGCTATTCTACTTTTCAAGAACTCACTGGTGATTAAGATTAATACAAAAGCTAAAAAGAGAATTTACCCCAAAATTGTGGAAATAATTTTCTCATCTTCCTTTTCTATGTGTGTGATGACTTCCTATTTATAAAGACAAACTACATAAGATCTATCCAAACTTTTGTTATAATATGACCAACAACATTCATTGATTCCTATGATGCTGTAATGAATACAGCATTTTACCAACAAAAATTTGAGAAATATTTTCTCAATATATCCTGGAGATGAAAAGTCTTATACATCATATACATAAATATATTGGTTAAGCCAGGCTGATAATTTCCATAGTTCCTTATCTTCAAGCTACATCTCTACAACCTCCTTTTCAGTTACCACCCTCTCTCCCTTTATTTCTCTCTCTTGCTCTCTCTTTCTGTTTCCTGGTGTGTGTGTGTGTGTGTGTGTGTGTGTGTGTGTGTGTATGTGTAATCCTATGCCACCATTCAACCACACATCAAATCTGATTTTCTATTTTAGCATAATTTCTTTCTATTTCTTTTATCTTTCTGAGACAGGATCTCCCTGTAGCCTCAGCTGGCCTGAAACTCTGTGTAGACCAGATTGGCCTTGATATCACAGAGGTCAGCCTGTCTCTGTTTCTCGAGTACTGGGGAAAAAGGCATGTACCGCCATGTCTGGCTGAGTATGACTTCTTTGTAACTTGATTATGTGCAAATAATCTTCCAAAGAAGCTCACATTCACAGTCTACTTATCTGAGGCCTCAAAATGTAAGCTTAGGGAACATAATTGGACCCAAATCATTATCTTTTCTATATAACACATGTTTTCTATCAGATTGCCTTAACATTCAAGATAAAATAAGCATTTCCAAAAAGTACTCCAATAAAAAATAACCCATTAAAAGACAGAAAATCAGAAAGCTTTTAAAACTCTCTCTCTCTCTCTCTCTCTCTCTCTCTCTGTGTGTGTGTGTGTGTATGTGTGTATGTGAGAGAGAAAGTGAGAGAATGTGCATATGTGTGTATCTGTCTGCCTATCTCTCTTTGAGAGTGAGCATGTGGAATTTTAGGGGTGCGGGATGGAGGGAGAGAGACAGGAGGAAGGGCCATTTTAAATGCTTTCTAATGTGGAGGCCAGATGTCACCCTCATGCTTTGTGGTGGTTTGAATAAAAATGTCACCTACAGGCTCCAAGTATTTAGACATGTTGTTTCCAGCTGGCAGCACTGTTTAGGGAGGCCTTAGAAGGTGTGGCTATACTGGAGGAAGAACATCACTGGGGGCAGGCTTAGGGAGTTCTTAAGCCTTGCTGGAGCTGGTTGGTCTCTTGCTTCCTGTACCTGCTTGAAGATGTAGAGCTTAGTTTCCACTCTATCTCCAGCCACCTCTGCTGCCATGCCTCTCTGGTGATGGACACTTGCCCCTTTGGAACCATAAGCTAAATAAACTCTTCCTTCTACAAGTTGCTTGGGTCAGTGTTTCTCTCACAGCAACAGAAAAGTAACTAATACAGGGTTCTTTCCACAGAAGCCATCCACCAAGAGTTTTGCAACCAGATCTCCGGTTGGCCTGAGGCTTAGAGAGTATTCTGTGCGATCTCAGTGGCAGAGAAAATTAAATATCAATGGGAAATGTAGATTAAAGCAAAGTGAGAGTCCATAATTCTTATTTCAAAAGTAGTTTTAAGGACTGAAGAGCATTTATATACACTTGTGAAATCATCCTGGAGAAGAGGAAACACTGAAGGAAAAGAGAAGTTTAGCAAAACATCTAAAAGAAGAGAGACTAGTGTGCCACCATCTTTAGCTAATGCAAAGAGGACTAATATATACACAATAACAATATTAGGCTGTTTACGGTGGAATTTAGCTAACGAAATTAGGGGGGAAGGCTACATACAGTACAGGAAGGGTTTGGGACAAATTATAATTCGAAAGATTGTGTTTATTGAGGATCTTCCTATACCCTTTGGTCAGATGTGTATTATTAAGAGAAATATAGGGCCTGTAGAGATCGCTCAGTGATAAAGAGCATTGGCTGCTCTTGCAGAGGACCCATGTTCGATTCCCAGCACCCACATGAAGGCTAACACTAAACAAATATAGCAATACAATATAAAAATATAACAATACAATAATATAACAATATTATAAAGATACTGTGTCTGACAGCTTTCTTAAGCTCTCTAAATTTCTAAGAATTCTAATTGCTTCTCTGAAATTTCTTTTTTGACAAAAGCAATCATTTAGAGCATAATAAAAATAATTTTCAGTTTTCTTTAATATCTACAGTTTGAATCTTTACCTTTATATGAAAGACAACAATATACCCTAAAATTGTAATTAGTAAAAGTTTAACTGGAGCTGGAGAGATGGCTCAGCAGTTAAGAGCACAGACTGCTCTTGCAGAGGACCTGTGTTCAATTCCCAGCACCCACATGGCGGCTATGATTCATCCTTAACTCCAGTTCCTGGGGAATCTGAAGCCCTCTTCTGACCTCCTCGGCAATGCACGACACAGGTGCATGCACATACATGCAGGTAATACATTCATACACATAAAATAAAAATAATAAAACCTATAAAAAATAAAAGTTTAACATATTTATGAGTGAAAAAATAGTATAATACATTTTGTGCCCTTTTTCTAAGCTATATAAATTGATGAAGAATTACATAGCTATTATAATTCATATGTATTTCTCCCTGTATTTAATATTATATTATTTTGAATCAAGTCCTTCATAATATATCAATACATGTATAATTCTTTCATTTTAACTGAACAAAGAAGATGTTTGGGCATTAAAATAATCATTGCTGATAAATTCTTCTATCATATTTGCTTATCAAATAGAAAAGGGAGCAAATGAATCTCATTTGGGAGTACATGAAGATTGAAATGTGTTAACTCTGAAAAGAATTGGTGAAAATCAACTATAAATTATCTCTATTGTCACCGTGATCAAGAATATACTCTCTGAATCAATAGATTATCATAAAATGAATAATACAAAGAACTAATTAAATGCTTGATTCTTTGAAAAGATACAAAATTGACAGAGCATCAGTCAAACTAACAAAAGACAAGTAAGAAGGACCAAAATCATTAGAATTAGAAAGAAATGAGTGAGCATTAAAACACCTATCAGTGCAATGTATAAGGTCCTTAGAGAACTCTTTGAAAACATTTCCGACACTGAAAAATTTAGTTGAAATGGATAAATACCCAGTCATATAGACCTAACAAAATGACAGTAAAATGTACAACCCATGCAACATATTAAAATGAACAATAAAGTTGAGTACTGATAGTCTCCCAAACAAAGCAAAGCGCAGAAGTAGGTAGCTTCACTGTCAAATTCTACCAGTCAATTAAAGAAAAAACAAATGCAAACCCTCCTCAAACTATTCCATAAACAAAGAGAGGGAAGCAAACTAATGAGTTATAGTTAATTGCTGTTATTCTGATACCAAAAACAAGTAAAGGCAAAACTACTTAAGGATGGAAGGGAGGGAGAAAAGACAGGAAGAAGGAAGGTGGGGAGAGGGTAGAGAGGAAGACAGAGAGGAAGAAAGAAGAACACTACAGATCTAAAATTTCTTTGTAAAATACTTACCAATCAAATTCACCAACACATTAAAACTGCAATGTACTGAATCAAGTTGATTTCCAGGAATATTACAATGTTTCATTTCAAATTACACCACCGAATCATAGTAACAAAAATAGTTTGGTCCTGGCACAGAAAGGGACTTGCAGTCCAATGAAATAAAATAAAAATAAAGAAACCCATAAGTTTAATGAGAGATAAGAATAATGGACAACTTTAGATAGATGGAGAAAGAAAATTTGTGTATATACACAAAAAGTTTTGCTCAATCATAAAAACATGAAATTTCATCATTTGTAGGAAAATGGGTAGAAGTGGAGCTCAGTGTGTTAACAAAATAAGAGGCATTCAGAAAGACAAATGTTACAGCCTAGTTCAAAGCTCACATTTTTGCTGTGCTTGCTCACCTTGCCTGAGCTCTCTTTTCTGTCTTACTCTGTGATAACAGACAAAGAACTCCTATAAGGATTTCCTTTCAGCTTTTCTAAATCCTGACACTAGAGTATAAACGTATCAAAAGATGCCACAGCCCAACACTCATTAGAGACACCAGACCCTTTATCAGCATTGACCCAAAGAATCTCAATAAAATGTTAGTAAATTGAATCTAGCCATATGTCAAAAGAATAACATCCATGTCTACATTGCATTTATATGAAAAATCCAAGTGTAATTGATTCAACATGAAATAAATAGTAAGTATTCATATTGCTAACATATTAAAAGAAAAATGTCTCCGTAGATATAGCAAAAGCATTTTACAAAATTTAACATGTACAAATATTAAAAACTCTCATCCAACTAGAATCAGAAGATAATATCTTTTATCTATAAGCATAACAAAAATCTTACAAGGAATTTTATTTGAAATATTTAGATGTCATAGGTTTCCTTAACACAAAAACAAACAAAGCAAACTGTCTTCTCACTTCTCCTATTCAATAAGAAAATGAATATTAGTGA